TACACTTTACCCTTTGTGTGATTGTTTTAACATTGGGCTGTTAGCTTTTTTTTTTAAATCTGCCTGTTCCGTTGCTTTTTTTGCTGATTTTTTATATGGATTGTGTTGCTTTAAGGTTGCTATTGGTGGTAGTAGTATTTGTTTTTAGTTTGTATTTAACACTGTAAATTGGTTAGCCGCTCTCAGTATGCAGTAGAGAGACAGGAGATAAATGAAATAAATATTGTATGGCTGCAGTTAATTAACATGCTTAATTGCATGGAATTTATTTGGACTGTATTGTAAGATACATTGTATGAAGTAGGTTTTTGGCTGTGAAAATTCATGCCACCCTAAAAATTGTTTGTAGGTAGGTCAGATATTCCTCAGCATCTAACAGAGGCATTTTGCCTCTAAACCCAGGCACCTAATCCAGCTATCGCATCTAACAGTCAATGCTAGAAATACCTTTTCAAACTGCTTTTCAGTCCATCTAAGCCACGTTATGAGAGGACAAGCGTCACTGGAAAAGATAATAATGCTAGGAAAACTTGAGGGCAGTAGGAAAAGAGGAAGATCCAACATGAGATGGATTGGCTCAATAAGGGAAGCCATGGATTTCACCTTGCAAGACCTGAGCAGAGCTGTTAAGGACAGGGAGTTTTTGAGATGACTGGGTGGCACATAACATACACAAGCTACAGAATGTGGTGATGGTCTCTGGCTAAGTTGATTGTAAAGGGACAGGTTTATGGAGGATAGGTCTGTTGTTGGCGATCAGCCATGATAATATAATGGGATCTCCCAGTCTATTGAAGGATGCTTCTGATTGTCAGTTGGCGAAGAGCAGTCAGCAGCCGCAGGCTGTTGCCCGCATCCCCTACTTGTGCAGCATCTGATTGGCCCCTGTTGGAAACAGCATGCTGGATGAGATGATCCGACATTACTCATGCTTTACACTGTTTTTCTTTACTACATTAGCACAAGACTTTTGTAATATGCAGTCCAAATATTTTATCTGGATTTTACTGTGTTTTTCTGGTGCTCTCCAGCTGTCAGGTCCTGCCTGTTTTTTTTCTAGTTACATGCCCCCCTTTTACATGCTGGTTTGTTTTTGCTTTCAGATGTACCTCTGCTGGATTCTGGGAAGAACACATGGATTAGGAACAACAGGCACTGTGGGTAAGGGTTTGGGCTAATTTATGGGCTGTAACTTTAGCCCTGGTCTGTAGTCTCACGCCAGCCAAAGTGTAAACTATATTTGCATAAATGGGTGACTAAGAATAGAGAAAAAGAAAGGGAAAATATGTGTATGTGGCATGATGTGTGTTGCCTTGGATTTCTCTGTGCTCAGCTGGTAGAAAAGGAGGTAATGATCATAATGAGTTTACACTTACGATGTGGCTCTTCCTCCAGGTTCCCAAAGGTGCTCACAAATAGATATGATAAATGTCTCTTTCTTTCCTAAAGGATATTCCATGGATCCAGCTAGAAATACTTGTATGTGTAAGCAGCCTTTTAAACCTATATTACCAGTGTGGACATGCATGCAGAGTGTAGACTGGGATTAACAGATTGACTCAAAACTAAATATTGTATTTTCTGATAGTGGCTAATGGCAAGAAGCAGTGCTGGCCTCCTGGATTTGCATTTATTATGCAATCTTCCTGACAGAGTAAAGGTATCATAGCCTTATGCATGTATGGAACAGGGGATAAAAAAGGCACCAGGCTACATTGTGATTCTCATTTGAGCTCATTTGAACCAGCTGGGTTCATTTATTTGATGCACACACCCCCACCCCGTTAAGCATC